ATAACCAAAATGGAAGACACATATAGTCACGAGATCGATGCTTTGCTCTGAGGACATGTCCTTGTTGACTGCATTCTAGCGCATCCTCAGGTGGACTGTGCCCACACAGTGGCCATTTTGCGAGCAACAGGAATGAGACTGTACTGTGTGGAAAGGCCCTAACTTCGTCTTCGTCGTCTTCTTCCTCGTCCATTGGGTCCAAGTCCATTCCCATTGACATCGAACTTGCAAACATAGGGGCTTCTTTGAGGGAAGGCCTCGAAGTTGATGGTCGCTTTCGAACTCCTTGATCTTCATATCGTTTCAACTTTGTCTCCATAGTAAACATTTTCTCTTGCAAGTCTGTCACAAGGATATGCAACGGTTCCTGCCCGTCTTGAGGCTTGCCATTGTACATAGCGCTTTCTTCGTCGCGTTCCTCATCGGAGGACGTCGCGTCAGTCACTGTGTTGTTCAACATGGTATCTGTGATGCTGCCTATTCTTGCAGATAGGATGAGCTATCTGATAGCCAACTGGCGCCTACCGCCTGGTTTCTTCCGTGAGGGATTCTTACTTGGTGTGACTCTTGTGGGTTGTGGTGTGAAGCTGGTCTTTTGGATTGCGTGCGAGCTTTCGTCTACCGGTACATTAGACGAACTTTGAATCGAACATCAGACATCATGCATTCGCCATCTGCCAATTGCTCGGTCCCATAAAAACTACAGAGTACCCGGTTCACGCACTTCATTCACTCGGTAGGCACTAACAGTTTCGAGACTCTCTTTTTTAAGTCGAACCGCGGGTCACATAAGCGACCCGCAAGGCAAGCCTCAGAGATCCCGCCAAAAGAGAGAAGACCCAACACTGGACCAGGAATTACACACCAGCACTGACTGGTAATGTAGGGTGGGTGAAGGAGGGAAATAAATGAAACACTTGGGACAACCAATGAAGATCGACAACCTGATCGACAAGGTGAATGAAGGTCGCACTATTGTGTGATTGTGTTGCCGTTGTCGTCCATCATATCCAACTTTCCATATGGAGAGAGAGTGTCTTGGTACAAGAACAATTATTTATAAAAAAGATATGCAAGCTATTAGAGGAGTAGAGAAACGAGTTGAGTCTCCCGGCCACACAAAAAAATCACTTTAAGCTTGACAGCCCAGCATGGGTGGGATGTACTCGTACAGTTGTAGATACCAAGACGTCAAAACCCAGAAGAGAAGAAATCTGCTATATCCAAGGGGCGATCAGAGCAAATGACTTCCGTCTCGCAAGTCTCCCCAAAGTGGTATGCACAATTCTTCTTCGACACCAACTCAGTTTCACCTTCACCGTGCAAAGCTTTACCATTCGCGTACACCTCAAAGCTTCCAGGGTTTGCAATACCATCGCCAAAGGTGTCCTCAAAATATATCACTCCACATTCATTCACCGGCAAACAGCTAACGTATCTATATTCTTCCAAGTGGTCAAAGGAGCCGCTTTGGACATGGTGCCAATCGAAATGGCCAGTGTCATTCAACACCTCATACCCGCTAGCTTCCTTTTTCAAATCGCCCCACTCAAAATATGGATGCACCTGTGATGCCTGCACCAGAGTATCATGGAAAAAATCCAATTCTGTCACCAAAAAGTGGATTTCATGCGCATGAGAGTCTGTTTTCAGATCGATCCACACTTTGGTTCCGCCGTCTGGACAGTATAGAATACCGTAGCAATCTTCCTCATGCTTGTCGTCACATTCACAATGAAGATTTGCAGATGGCACAAAGAGCTCTTCCATCTCAGTCAGTTGCTGGTAAGTAGCATTCTTGGCGCTACCAGCTTCCAACACGGCTGGAATTCCGTCGATTTGGGCAAATAGATTCTGTTTGACGATGTGCGGCTTGGAAGCCCTCCCATGACCTTCCGCGACATACCAGCGCAGATCATCGGTTGGCACCCAGGTATCGGTAGTTGTTCTGAGATCCAATGGGTCACTGATCAGATGTACGGTATAATTGGAAGCGTACAGATCAAAAGATCGGAGGCACTCAGTACGACATTGAGCGTCAATGGAAGTTCGACTGCACCCAGATATGCAATCGAGATGCAACTCTCGTTCCCTGATGGCCAGCCACCGTCTTCCACTGAAAATAATGTATTCCCCGTTGACTTCATTCTCCAGCAGCTCTGCATCTGCATAGTACACGGGACGATCTCCAATGAAAATATCCAAGCGCTCATAGATTGGAAAGGTGAAGACGAACCCTTCAGACCCTAGATCTTTGCAATTCAACTCGACATGCTCAACAGGAACAAAAGAGGCCAAAAACTCCACCGTTTCGAGAACTCCATCCTTCGAGATGTTCTTCTCGTCCTTTGCGAACCAGAGATCGGTAGAATGTGTCAAGATGTCGTACGCATCAATATTCGCTGAGTTAGCTTTGAAAGACCTCAGCGTCCATCGATCACAAGGGTACATCATGTCATCTCCTACTGCAAGCACCCAGCTTTCGCCACAGTAGAAGAATGCCGCGTGCTCATTTTTCCAGTTGTCTTCACACCGATCTGTTGGTAGCTTCGTGTAGATGATTCGCCCAACACTTGAATCGGTTCTATCTCTCACATCGCTATAATCGGAAAGATAGCAACCAAAATACATTCCAGACAACGTTGAAAGCCATGGAATGGCATCGTCGTGCAGCTGGATATAAATTTCATTGTCTCCAAATATGCGATTGTCCTGCATTATTCGGATCAGAGCATAACACCCCATCAAAACCAAGAGTACAACGAAGAGTGGCCACTTTCGCAGCCACTTGTGCTTATCCTTCGGGGTGTACTTCACTTCAGCAACAACGCTTGCCGTGTCCTTCATGGCCCTTCCAAAGAAACCTCTCCAAGCCAACACAAACGCTGCGTCATCGAGGCTGGCTACAAATTCCATGGCGGTGAAATTCAGCAACAGGTCCACGACTTCTTCAGATTGCATAATGATCAAGAATGTTACAAAGATACCAAAGATACCGACGTTGACTTGCGTCAAGGCTGCGAGGTAGTACTTGTATACTGTCACACCTGGCACCTCACGGATATACTTGAAATTTTGTACAAAGAGATCGAGACCCTGGAAAATGTTGTTTTGTGTGTACACCGTGATCACAACGGCAATCAGCTGAATAACAAGTGAGCTAGATGTGCGGAGAAAGCAAACAGAACAACGAAGGTTGTCATAACGTACCTCAGAAGTGCGAGTAAAGGGATCTACATTGACAGGTATTTTGAGTGGGTTTTTTGGATTGGTGATATCTATTGCATCACTGGATTTAAAAAGAGATGAAGCGTCATTGATGAGTAAAGTTGCAAACATCATTCATGAATTCAAAAGACACATCCCAACGTTTCGAGTGTTCTGAAACTTACTACAGCGCAAGAGTATAAATCCCAGCTTGCAATGCTACAATTCCCGATGATAACCAAAATGGAAGACACATATAGTCACGAGATCGATGCTTTGCTCTGAGGACATGTCCTTGCTGACTGCATTCTAGCGCATCCTCAGGTGGGCTGTGCCCACACAGTGGCCATTTTGCGAGCAACAGGAATGAGACTGTACTGTGTGGAAAGGCCCTAACTTCGTCTTCGTCGTCTTCTTCCTCGTCCATTGGGTCCAAGTCCATTCCCATCGACATCATACTTGTAAACACAGGGGCTTCTTTGAGGGAAGGCCTCGAAGTTGATGGTCGCTTTCGAAGTCCTTGATCTTCATATCGTTTCAGCCGTGTCTCCATAGTCATCATTTTCTCTTGCAAGTCTGCCACGAGTATGTGCAGCGGCTCCTGCCCGTCTTGAGGCTTGCCATTGTAAACAGTGCTTTCTTCGTCGCGTCCCTCATTGGAGGACATCGTGACAGTAACTATGGTGAAATCAGTTGTTCAACCTTCACCGTTGACGGCCATAGGTCTCCGTCGGGTTCGGTTGGTGTTTTACGCTCCGCTTCTTCCATGGCACATTAAAATTCGCCTTATTATTATGGGACCTGTTCATGATCAAGAAGTAAGTGAGCGGGGTCGTCGGTCAGTCGTCAAGCACCAGACATATCAGACTTACTGAAAAGTATATCATTTTCGCGCATTTCCGCACGAAACGTATATCGATATCATATACTTTTCCGCAAGGCCTGGTGGGCCAACACCATATGATTCCTATGTAAAAATGTTGTTCCCACAAAGGCTTGCGGAAAAGTATATACCTCTCCGGGTCCCTTGATATACGATGCGATTTCAAGTCAGGCTCAATTTTGGCACGTAGAAATCGTACCGTTTTCGCGTAGACCAGAATACTGGCCTGGTTGAGAATATTGGAAAATACACGTTCCTCAAAAGACACCAGATT